CATCCGGCACAGGGGGCGCGAGTTTGACACCCCTGATCTAAAACTTCTTCCTAATAAATCTTCTTCCTATTTCTTACAGAAAGCAAAAACAAGCTATATTTAAGCACTTTTCAACCATTTCATTGGAATGATACATCAACTACAAATAAACTTCCAATTAATTTAAGCATATTCGTCCAGTATGAGTACTTACAAAGAAAATAGTAATACTTTAAAATAATTATTTTCTGTGACAGATTTCACTGCTTTACCTGGTGGAAGAGGCTGGTTTTGGACAAAGTAACCTGACTGTTGGGGCTGTCCTATAACATTGTAGCCCCACAAAGCAGATTGAGGATGATGCAACATTTGGGAATAAAGTGGTGAGAAATTAGGAGCCATTCTACATCCATTGTTCTGAGGATATTCCTTGAGCAAAATAGGAAATATTAAACATTACTGACATTCAAATGATACCAATTTATAAATAAGTCATTTTTCCTGATGAATTATTAGACCATTTATGACTGTTACAATTAGGCTTTATTTCAAATATTATTTGGCTGTCTCATGATGCTTAGTTTTCTACTAATTTTCTGAAATACCATTATCTACTAACTGCACACATAATTATACCAAAGCACCATTATTTAGGCAATTAGAAACACCCTGAGAAGGAAATTACAGGAAGGAATTAGGTAAACAGCCAATAAATTCAAACTTTTAAAATGAAGCTTTCAAAAAATTTTAACTTCAGGAAATTAAAACATTTGTTTTAATACCACATAAATCCCTGTGCATTGTCAAGGACTCTTGAGTATGCCCTAAGATGTATGTGATGAGTATGTATCACTGTTTAGGTTTGTTGGGCTTCTCTGAACAATATATTTTCTTCAAATATATTTCAAAATGTGACGTTGCATTTTCATAATATTGAGAAAATTGTCCATTATCGATAGTTTCACTGAGGGACAATAACTTGTAATACAAGCTAAAATCAAGTGTAAAGGGTGCAAAGACAGAAGTTCTCAGAATGGTCAGGAAAAGTTAAATAAATAAATACATATTTTGTAATGTGTTTAAATATTAGTAGCTCAGGTTGGTAGTTAGGCTGTTGGTTTGAGCTCCAAGCTTGGCAATTTGGTTGCAAATGTTTTGTCACCATTCAAGAAAACATCACCTTGAATGGTGATGAAACATTTGCAACCAAATTGCCAAGCTCAGAGCTCAAATCAACAGAATTAATATTCAATTAATTTATAGGTTACCACATTATAGTCAGTTCTATAAATTAATTTTGGAGTTTTATATATTTGATATTTTCTCCTTTCAATTTCATTGATAGGATGGGATTTAACCTGAAACATCTCCTGTAACTTTGCCTTGCTTTCCCACAATATGTGAGAATTTTAAAAAATATTTCAAGAATCATGAGAGCCATCTGTAGAATTGAATCTGGTGGTCTATCCAATGGTTTTACCACCACCCCAATCTCAAAAAGCAGTGCTGTCTCAGCCTTGAGGAAGGAAGCAAGCAGTTCTCTAAAAGTCTTAGAAAGGTACACAGACTGTTCTGCTAAATCAGCAGAGATGACTAAGTGCTGTACTTGTAACTGCCAAATGATTAAGCAATTAATCATGAAAGGAATGACCCTTATGAAGTTTATGATGGCTCCACAAGCCAATTATTTACGATGAAAGTTACACTTGCTAGTACTGAACAGCTATCACCCTTATCCAAAAAGCAATTAATTCAAAAAAAAATTATCCAAAAATAGAGTAAACAATATGCTTCTACTATAAAGTAAAGGTTGGCAATGTAGCTTCTATAATGCCCCATAGAATGGGAGATATTGGAGGGATTGAGTAGTACAGTTTGGTCTCTTTTTCTTCCAAAGTGCTGCAAGATGTCACCTAGTGATGCAATAACATTACTAGAAAGGACCAAGATGAAAATCTTATCAGTCCATTTTTAAGAGTGCAGAAAGCAACTCATCTCTCTTCCAAATCTCCAAAACACCTTTCCTGTCAAGCATGGGACATCAGGAAATGTAGTCAGTTCAAATGCACATAAAGGTTTATTGTAAGCCTAAGCTTTCTACAAGAACCTGAACTACTAACAGTTAAAGGAAATGGGTGGTAAATAAGTCAACGGAATTCAAGGTGGTTGGACTTAGATCTCTTGTGAGCACGAAGGGACTCGAGACATTTGATGCCTCCTTCAGGCTCAGCCTGGTCATCTCCTACATTTCCCTTCTCATAAAACCAACTAATCTCATGAGATACTGTATATTTGTTCATGTATACAGAACTTATAATATTTAATGTAATTGTTTCAAAATTTTATGTTATTTCTTTCATGTCTGCTAACTCACATGAAATCATCTGAAGGTTACCAGGACCTGACAGGAAGGGCAATTCACGCAGGACCACTTTTTAAAACACTTTTTTAGACCTTTTAGCTACTTACATCAGTTTTGGAAGCTGCTTTTGACTTTCTTTTTCTGCCTTTCCCCTTTCTTTCTTCATCTGCTGAAGGTTTTCCCTGATCTGAAAGCTCTGACTTTCTTTCTGGTTCCTGAGATGCAGGAGTGGTAGGCTCTTCTTCCTCCTCGTCCTCCTCAGGAGGAAGAGGTAAAGGTTCGAGGTAGTAGCTTCGTGGCTTAGGTTTAGGGTGTGTGTGGTAAAGGAGAAGGTGCTGCTGTTCCTCATATTTTATGACTTTCCTATCAATGCGAACAGTTCCAAACCAAGCCCAAGACAATGGAGCTGGATTCTTATTGCCTTCCAGTAAATCCCATGGAGATACTTTCTGTTTCATTGAGACTTGGAGCCCCTGTTCCCAAAAAAGTGTAAAATGACAGTTTGCTTGATCACAATTTTCTTCTAATTTCCGAATACCTTTAATTGCAGCTTATGAACTTACTATTAAAATAGTGATGCATATAATCACCAGAGAAAAATATCAGTAATATAATGTACATAATGATACAATTAATTGAATGATATTTTATGTGTTGGATTGAAATATATATAAACATGAGATTAAACAAAGAAATTTATTGAAGTTTCTGCAAAATTATGTTCAAGAGAAAGGTTTGAAGAAAATGCTTATCCTTGCCTGTTTCTTATCTATGGAGTCAAATCCAGCAATTTTGTTTCCCTTCGTATCAATCAGTGATCCCATAGGCTCACATGCAATAAGGTCACACATCTGCTTTGGCAATGGCAAGAGCTGGCGAACTTTGTCAATACTTTCTGAACTTTTATCTCCCAGTTCTTTCTACAAGAGGACAAAAATGCAAAAAAAAAATGTTAAAAATAAATTTCGGAGCTCCAACTCAGAGAAGTTTCAGATGAATCATATCCTTGTACTTTTACTATTTTTATTCAAGTTATGTAGCACAGTTTTTGAAAAGTGCTTCATAAGCTTTTCTTTTCCTAGGACAAAAAATAATTTCCAGGATCTCCCGCCCGCCCCCCTGTCTCTCATCACCATATCAGGATTAAGTATTCTGAAAAGCATAATCTTTCCAATGTTTCATGCAGAAGTTTTTCCTACCATTTGCTACCAAGGATTTTTAAAGTACTAATGTAAAGGATCAGGCTCTTTTGTTTCTAAGATATGCTTAATGCTACTTCCATATACCAATATTACTTGATGAGCATCTTGATATTTCTCACAGAAATACAGGAAGGTATTAGCATGTCCATATAGCTGACTATTTTATACTCTGAAAAAAATCACCAAGGTTTCAACTACAATTTTTTTCATCACATCCTACTTGGTCCTCCTTTTGAATGGGAAGGCAGGAATTGTCTTTGACAAAAAGTCAGAGAAATTCAAACTGAATGGTTTTTTTTTCTATCTATAGAATAAGCATACGCTTTTTCACATTGAGCACAGCTAATCCATCTGAGGAAGTGGCCTTTTGAAAGAAAGGAAATGTTATATTTACAACTTTGATTTAAATCACATTGTTTGTGTATGCTTCCTCTTAATTAATCAAGTTAGTATATTGCTACTGTGTGTTTGTTTGCTAATTTGTTATTAAAAGGGTTCTACAGCTGGCAGTTACAAAACACTACAATCTGCTGGATTGCAGCTGAGTCCAGACAAGTTAAAATTTGGAAAATGAGGTATCAAAATATAAACGTTCTCCTAGTAATTTCACAGAGGTAGCTGATATTTAGTTCCAGTCTTCCCCAATTTGAAATCTCTCAAATGTGTGGGGTCACTACAATCTCGGATTTCCTCATTCAGTATGGCATCTGTCTATCTGCCTGCCTGCCAGCTATCTATCTATCTATCTATCTATCTATCTATCTATCTATCTATCTATCTATCTATCTTATTCCACCTTTCGACAATTCGAAGATAGATGGCTCCTGACTCCTAATTTCCCCACAATAAAAAGCTTTTGAATGGGTAAGGATGATAGGGAATGATAAGCCCAACATCACCGAACAATTTTTGAGCCCTATGGAGGACTAGAACTCACAGTCTCCTGGTTTCTAACCCACACCTTAGTCACTAAACATTTTACAGAATTCAAGGGTCAGATAAAAACACACTTTGAGTTTTTTCACCAAATTCATGTATGCTCTCTTGTTCTCTTCAGATCCCATTTGAGATGCAATTGAGAGGTCAGAAGCTAAAGTTCCATTGATCAACACACTCAACATATCAAGTACTGTTGTAAATAATTCACTAAAAAGGGAAAAGAAAAAGACAAATTATATTTTGAAGAGCAGTTCTAATACCTATAGTAAAGCAGAAGCTTAATATTTCTTTCTAGAGTATCAAATAATCCACTTTTACATCAACTTAAGGATGAGGAAATAGCCATGTCCTACACCAAACCAAGATAATGCCAATAATTACACATGTGCAACAAAACCATCACACAAATGCTATATTATATACATAATTTTAAATCATTGCAAGTTGTCTGTTGGCAACTAGACACAAAGATGCCAAACTGATGACATTAATCAGAATAGAATTGGAAGGGACTTCAGAGGTCCCTTAGTCCAGCCCCATGCTCAAGCCCTATACCATTTCAGGTAGGTGGCTGTCCAGTCTTTAAAAAAAAAACTTCTAGTGATGAAGCATCTACAACTTTTGAAGGCAACTGTTAGGAAGTTTTCCCTTAATTCCACTTTGCTCCTCTCCTTGATTAGTTTCCATCCATTGTTTCTTGCCCTGCCCTTCTTTGTGGCAGCCTCTCAAATAGTGGAATACTGTTATCTTATTCTCCCTAGTTCTTCTTTTCTCTAGACTAGACAAACCCACATCCTGCAACCGTTCTTCATATATTTTAGTCTCCAGACCTTTAATCATCTTAGTTGTGTGTAATAGAATAGAATAGAATAGAATAGAATAGAATAGAATACAATACAATACAATACAATACAATACAATACAATACAATAAAATACAATACTTTATTGGCCAAGTGTGATTGGACACACAAGGAATTTGTCTTGGTGTAAATACTCTCAGTATACATAAAGGAAAAGATGTTATGACATCGTGACATGTGTATCATGACACACAAGGCCCACATTTTTAAACTTGGATCGGAATGTCACATGCAGGAATGTACGGACAAAGTTTATGTTTTAAAAAAGGAAAGGCATCTGCGACTGTTATTGTTATACAATGTGACACCATGAACTTTGTGTAATATTTCAAATCAGATTGTGGAGTAATATCCATCTTCCACACTCCATTTTACTCTATTTATGAATGTTGAGGAGCAGCCAACCCTACATTGTCAACACAAACGTTACCATATTTACCTTGTTCTAAAACAGTAACCAGCACTAGCCAATCCACATTCAAATCCTTGGCTGAATCCAAGGTAGTGAAGTTACACTTACTTTAAGAAATCTCATGAATAGACCTTGGAGAATTTACTTTTGAAATTAGTTTAGAAGAAAAATACAATTAGAACCATTATTATTTACTTACTAAATTTATATTCTGCCCAGAGTTATTTGATAGTGAAATAGTGACATATAAATGTAATAAATAAATAAATATTTCAATTTGTGCAAAATGAATGGCAATTTTTGCTTTACAAATAATATTGTTACTCAAAGTACTAAGATCCATAATATATAATATGCATTAGAATACACATACTTATTGGTTTGCATGTCAACAGTCCCTGATGTTATTATCTGAAGGAGTAGAAGTGCCCAGTCTGTGGTCCACTGAGTACTTCTTTGCACCGTATCAAACATTCCACCAACCTAGAATTGAAGCATTGAAAAAAATGAATAAAAAAGTAAAACCAAATCTTTACAATCTTTATTTTCTAACTATTTAGACTGCAATATTGTGTTGTGTACAGAACTCCAAGAAGCTTAGGTAGGGGCTGAAAATATGACTATGAAGGATCCCCCTAAGAGCAATTACCGTGTTTCTCACAAAATAAGGCTGGGCCTTTTTTTTTTTTTTTGACCCCCGAAAAAATGGCTAGGCCGTCTTTTTTTGGGGGGGGGGGGGTGACTTAATTCCCTCCCCTTGCATCCTCAGATGGGTGGGCGGCGATGGCTTGGATGTTGATCTCGGCATTGGTGGGGCACTTCGTATTGGGAGATCTTCTGCCACCATTGCTTTCCCTTGTCCCCGTGCTGCCACGGCGTTTAGAGCAATGCCGTCGTTTGGCGCAGCAACCGGAGCCCGGCAAAGACACTTGACTTTAGGCACTCACTGCCTTCCCTTCGCCTTTGAAGGCAAAGCCAATTCTTTTAAAAGCGACACCCTACTACCAGTTTGACAAAGCCTCCCCTGCCTGAGAGGGCAGCCCAACTCCATGTGGGGAGGCAAATCTCCCGGGGCCACAGCACAGGATCGGCCCATCCCGGGACAAGCGCCCAGCCACAATCCCTACCTGGCGCCGGGCAGAGTGTGAAGAGCTTCGCCCGGGGCACCCAGCACAGCTGATAGGCAGGCCCTCCTGCCCAGCAGCGGAGCTCTCGCCAAGGCAGTGAGTGCCTCCCCGCCGGGCCCTCCATTTATCCTGCCAGGGCTGCGCCAGAACCGTGCGGGCAGGGCAGAGCCGGGAAAGCAAGCTGCAGGTGTGCACCTACCTGCCAAGCGAAATTGCCGGGACGACCCGAGCTTGGCTTCCTTCCCAACTCCTTCCAGCCTGAACCCAAAGGGGACAGCGGGAGAGGCCGCCCGAGGCAGTGATAGTGCCTACCCATCTGTGGACAGGGAGGCAAGGCGATGGCTGCGCCGCGTCCTCCTCCGAGCTGAGCCCTGCCGAGTGAGCGCCTCTGCCCAATGCCCATGCCGCTGCAGCGTTTGGAGCTGCTGGTGCATTTGGAGATGGGGACTAGCTGGGTGAGGGGTGGAAAGAACGGGCAGCTTCGGGCTCTTTCTGCCGGACCCGCCGGCCAGGGAAGCAGCGCTGCCATCACTTCGCCTCCCTGTCCGTGGATGGGTGGGCGCTATCATTGCCTTGGGCAGCCTCACCCGGTGGCCCCTTCGGGTTCGGGCTGGAGGGACTTGGGAAGGAAGCCAAGCTTGAGTCAGCCTGGCTCTTTCGCTTGGCAGGCACCCACGGCTCGCTTTCCCAGCTCTGCCCAGCTCTGGTGCACTCCTGGCAGGATGAGCAGAGGGCCCGGTGGGGAGGCGCTTGCTGCCTTGGTGAGACCTCCGCTGCCGGGCAGGAGGGCCTGCCTGTCAGCTGCGCTGGGCACCCCAGGCAAAGCTCTTTGCACTCTGCCCGGTGCCAGGCAGGGATGGCGGCTGGGCGCTTCTCTCAGGGTGGGCCGATCCTGCACTGCAGCCCCAGGAGATTTGCCTCCCCGTGTGGGGTTGTGCTGCCCTCTCGGGCAGGGGAGGCTTTGTCGTACCGGTAGTAGGGTTTTTAAAAGAATTGGCTTTGCCTTCGAAGGCGAAGGGAAGGCGGCGACAGGAGTGCCTAAAGCCAAGTGCCTCCACCAGGCTCCCGTTGCAGGGAGAAGCCCTTGCTGGCTGTGCGTGGCTGCGCCAAACTACGGCGTTGCTCTAAACACCGCGGCAGCATAGGGAGAAGGGAAAGCAACGGTGGCAGAAGATCTCCCGATACGAAGTGCCCCACCAATGCTGAAGTCAACACAGGCAGCACCATATCCGGGTATGCAACCAAAGTACTTCCTAACAGCAAGCCCCCCCGGCCATTCCCCTCCATTTCGCATGTTTAATATACACCTTAATTTGGGGGGAGGAGCTTAATTTGATTTTATGCCTATAAAACATGCTGGAACTTCCTATTGGGGGAGGCCGTATTGTTGGAGAAACACGGTAATATCTGATAGACTTCCCCCACCCCATTCTCCTGGATTTTTTGTGATCCACGGGAAGAAAGCTGTAGGAATTGTTTTTACTTTTTCTGCAAAATATTATTGTTTGACTTCTGTCCAGTTATATTCTGATGTTTGATTTATCACATTATTTGTTGTCATCCTTATTTAACCCTTATATTTGTAATGCCACTAGTTTAATATCGTCAAAGATGCAAAATTAAGTTAAGAAATTGAATGGATGGATGGATGGATGGATGGATGGATGGATGGATCGATCGATGGATCGATCGATCTAAATTGTAATACAGGATTTAGAGAGGATAAGGATCAATAATTAATTCAAGAAACCTTATAAGTCCCTTTCTGCTTCAAGCAGCCTGGAAGATCACTCTGAGAAGAGGCCCAGCATTATTCTAAATAAACTAATATCCCCTTAAGTAAATAAATATTCTTCTTTCTTACCAAATTAAGACGAAGCTGTAATGCTTCATGCATCATTTGTCTTGCTTTAACATCATCTTGGTATCGTTCTTCCCTCCAGTTGCTTAATATCTAGGATAAAAAATATGGTTCGCACTGATCTGCTTTATTTATCTAGATCTGTATAACATAATATGTCTTTTTAATACATTATGGGCTTAAAATATTATAGGATTTCCATTTGAGCAGGGGGTTGGACTAGAAGGCCTTTAATATCCCTTCCAATTCTGTTATTCTGTTATTTTCCGCAGAATTTATCTGTACACTTCTCTTCCTATTTGATCACTGTTGCACTTCTGCTTGCTTTATTTGTTCTGTCTCATCCCTTTAAACATAATGCTACACATATGGAAAACTACAGTATTATTTCCTATTATAATTTTTGTTTTTAAATTCTTCAAAGGAAAATATTCGGTCAGTTAAAAGAATAATTATTTACATTTTGTAGCAAAATTTCAGAAGAGGTTAATCATTGCTTCTTTCCTAGGGCTGAGACAAAAAGACAGGCCCAAGGATCCAACTGGCTTTGTACCTAAGGTGAAACTAGAACATATGGGCTCCTGATTTCTAACCCAGTGTCTTAATCACTGTACCAAACTGGCTTTCTCTTTAGTAATATCTATATGAAAATCCCATATTAACAAGATAAAGGGGAACTATCCTTCCTAGAAAATATAAGTTTGTTTGGGTTTTTTTTTTGGGGGGGGGAACATAAGCTAATAATCTTTTTACCTGCCCTATCCATATATAGGTAGTCCTCGTGTAATGGCCATAACGGAGTGTACAGATTATGGCCATGAGTCATAATACTGGTAACTTTACTACGTAACTTTACAACTTTTTTGTGGTGGCCATTAAGTAAATGCGACAATCATAAATGCAAATGCCACAATTGTTAAACAAACCCATGGTTCATTTTGCTGAAAACTGGAAATGCTGGGTTTTTACAAAACCAGCGTAAAACATGGCCCCTTGACTGTGGCATTCTGTAAATGGATATAAATGTGGCTGTGTTTCCAAGCACCCAAAATGTGGTCACATGACTGGGTGGAAGAACAACCATAGGAACTTTTGATCTGGGTGGCATGCCCCCTTTTTCAAGTAGGACACAAGTCAAGGAGTTATAGAAAATACTTTGAAAGTAGGATGGATTAAATTTTGATGCACTAATTTTTTCTTACACAACATTCAACATTAATACATGTTCCAAATCCAATACAAAAGGGATTTTTAATTCTACTGTCTCATTTACTTTAATGTGTAGGCCAGGTTTTAATAGATAGTTGCACACCTGCTGGGCTCCTGTGGAAATTGTGTCTTAGTGCCTCAAAAGCCAATTCTCCTTGCCATATAAGCTTCCATTAGTACAAAGACAAGTGTTATAGGAGATTACAATGAAAAATAATGAAATACCTCACCAAGTTCATCTAAATGTAGGAGTTCATTTGAATTTCATATTATTCCTATAGAAGATCTGGAAGGCCTTACTGAAATGGAACAAGACTACTACTATAATTCAAGGAATAGCTTATTGTTGGTCTGATGACTATTTTTAATTCTGAGAAATTCAGCACATTTTGTAGAATACTAAAACTGGAAGGAAATCAGATAAACAAGATTTATAAATGAATTGATTTCACTGATTTTGCTACAAATGTAGTTTGAGATATGGTTTCCCATCTGCCTCTGTCCATTACTTTAACTGGTCTTTAACAGATGCAGACCACAGCATTGTCTGGTTTTTACCTGATTAATTTGATTTTGCAGAGATGTTAGAAGCCCTTCACGCTGTTCATCCTGTCCCTTGAGACAAGTGAGTACCAAAGACAGGAATGGTTGCTGACTCAGAAGAGACATACTTTAAAAAAACACACAGAGTGGACACTGAATTAGATGTTTTTTTCCTGATACTTCCTCTACTCAAATTCTTCCTTCCCCTTTTCAGTATTTCTCTAAAAAGATTTCTTTATAAACTCTCATCACTATTTAAAAACCACAAAATTGTTCCTGACTTCACTCATGCATGTGACCAGAATGGTTTGTCAAGTGGACAGGCAAAAAGAGCTTCTCTTATGAGTCATTCTGCAAAGCAGATAGTCAGTTTGTAAATGTGATAAATAAATAAATAAAATGTTCTAAGAATAGGAAGCTTCTTCAAAACATTGATAAACAGCTTCTGAAAATAATAATTTATAGAAGTACACATTCCCGCTATCGAAAAATGCATCTTAGAAAGATTGTTTTTAATTTTTTCTGCAGTGATCTATAAATCAATTTACATAGGATTCTTCAGGATAGCAAGCACAAAACTGCTTGTTTAGGCAAATAATTTAATATTGTCTAATAATGAAAGATGCGTAACACTTCTTTTCCTCTTGAAATATAAGCATCTCAAATTGTACTTTGTACTTTTGTCTTGTACTTTGAGAAGTTCATCCTATTAGAGACAAGATAAAGAATTATAACATTCTTGTTTTTCCTGTTCTTTCATTTTGTATTTTACTTTCCTGGTGACAAAATAGTATGCAATTTCTGAGGCTATTTAGGTTACCAAGCAACTCAAAGAACATTTAGCAAGGAGCATTTTCTCATCTTGGTAAAAAAGTGTTATTTAATTCTTTTTTATCAACTAGTTCAAGACAAATTAATACTAATTACTGGCATAAATTTAATTTTGAAATATGAAATTAGATGTGGATAATAATAGAAAAGAAAGAGAAAATTCCAAATTTAGACAAACACCCATAATATGAATTGGTATAATTAGTGGAATATTTTGCAGTAAAAGACAGACAACTTAGTATGTCCAAACTCCTAAGCACAATCCTAACATTTACTTAAAAAAGAAAAATATATTTGTTGTAAGTAGATCTACTGTAAAAGAATTAGCTTCATATGTAAATTAAGGAAAAAATAAGTTACTTTGATTCTCTTTTCTTAGTCTTCAGCATAAATATTTAGTTTAGTTTTCAAAACACAATATTTCTAGTAAAAATGAGCACCCAACTTCATTTTATAGACTTCATTTTATTTAAGAATTTACTGTGTTCACTTTCTTAAAAATTAATATGCCACAGTTAGGTTTTCTTTCCCAAAACAAAATCTGGTTTCTACTTATTTCTTTAAAGAAGAATCAAATTCTACAGCTCATCTTTGCAGCAGAGATGTTTAAAATACAGCCATATTTTCCAGTATCTTCTACCTCTTCTGTTTTTGCCTGTCTCTCTCCTTCTTTGAACATGATCCCAAGTGCTGGCCCTTCTCTAGTTCTTCTCCAGCTGCTTTCAAGACTCGGCCTTGAACAGATGTTGGCAGCTTTGCAATCAGGGGAGCCACTAACCAGACACCTTGTCTTTCAGAAGAGCTAAAGACATGAAACAAATAAGATTTTTGAGCAGAATCAATATATTCAGTACTTTTTTCACATTTGAATATATATATAAACAAGAGCTTTTAGTAAAAAAAAAAATAAGGCACAGAGTTCTGCACAGGATATTATTATTATTGCTGTTATTATTGTTATTGTTGTTGTTAATCTTTGTTGAGATTAACAGCCTTTTGGGGCTGGTTGGTAGGTCAACAGCTCCTAACCAAAGTCCTAACCAAGGACCTAGGAACTGTTAAGGTAGCGTCGGAGGATATAAGCTATTCCAAGTAGGGTGGTTTTTTGTAGAATCAAGGTATTCAGGTATTATTATTATTATTATTATTATTATTATTATTATTATTATTATTATTATTATTATTATTCATTAAACATGGAACTCAGTCAACTGAACATTCAAAAATGCATCACAAATACCATTGACTGGTGCTAATGGTTGATATGGGTTGCTGCCAGCATCTTAGGTATCAACCAAGTACCTTCTTAAGATGTACGATGTTCCGAGTAGCACAGTTTTTTGCAATTCCGCTGGTTTCTTGCAAGAAGCTGAAATTTCTTGATTTATTTTATAAAATTCTTGGACACAGTACCTAATGCCCCAATGACAATGGGTGTCACTGTTACATGTTTCATCCATAATCACGTAATTTCAATGGCCAGGTCTCGATATTTTGTGATTTTTTTTCCAGTTCTTTTTCTTCGACTCTGTTGTCTCCTGGTACTGTGATATCAATAAATTGCACGTGTCGATTTTCAACAACTGTGATATCTGGCGTTTTGTGTTCTGAATCCAAATGATGATCTGTCTGTATTCGAAAGTCCCACCAGATCTTCATCTTCTCATTTTTGAGAACTTTTTCCACTTCATGTTCCCATGACTTTTCGGATACACGTAAGTCTTATTTTTAACATAATGACCAGTGGATTGATTCAGCAATTCAGTCATGTCTAGCTTTGTAATCAGTTTGTGCAATTTTGCTGCATTCATATATTAAGTGTCACACAGTTTCAACTTTGTCGTTGCATTAGTTTGTAGTACTTGTTCTTGAGCAGCAAGTATAAAATTTCAATTTCTTTCTTGATGGTTCCCATCTTAAGCCATGCCCATATCAAGCTGCATTCAAATTTTCCTTCAGTGTTTTTCAAGTGCTGTCCATGCATCATCATCATTATTGTTATTATATGTATATATTATTATTATTATTATTATTATTATTATTATTATTATTATATTTCATATTATATTTCTTCTTGTCATCATTATCATCATCATCATATGGCATTGTTTCATTAGTTCTGTTGAAGAAAATGCTTTCCAAGGTGTGCCACAGGGCGAGCTGGCTTCGCACCAGAAAGAAACATGAGGATGTCTTCCTGCAGCAGCATCCTACGCCCCCTCCTTCCCTGGAGATGCCTCCCAAATGGACACCACAACCAGAAAGGTTCAGTGCCCCCAGTATTATAAATAAAGGTTAAATAAAGATTAAATAAATCTAGATTAAACTGAGAACTGGTGTGGTATCAGGTATGTGGTGTTAGAATGGGATGGAGAGAGTCAGATCCAAGTTAACCCTCAGCCATGGTGGATGATCACTGTATGATTTTGGCCAGTCATGCTTTGTTTTGAAGAAGAAAAACTAAAAGAGACAATGCTATGTATGCTACTTTATGCTTTGGGAGAAAAGGCAATATATATACTGGATATAGTGTTATAGTTTACAACTAATTTTTCAATTGTAAGCTGCCCAAAGGCATTAATTGAGATGGGCAGCTATAAAAATGGAATGAATGAATGAATGAAATTCAGTTTAACTATGTATTATTTAGTTAATATAATATCCTGATATAACACTCTGGATGTACTCTGTTTAGATAGAAAATTCCTATTTCTTCCCATTAAGAGTAAACTTGTTAGAAATGAAAAAGAAATTATATCTCATATTAAACTAACAACTATTTTCCTTAAAATAAAATAAAAAAGTAGAGTTCACCAAGGATTCAGGTATGATTTGAAGCTTAGGTTCCTTTCAAACAATATTTTATTAATTTCAGCAATCTATTTTATTTCCAAATCAGAGAAAGATTATCAAATTCTTAATTCATTGACTCAAAGTATTTATTTAGTCTGCAGATAACATTGTGTTTATCTTCTTTAGTGTGTATTTAGTAAACAATCAAGAGAATGAAGACATTCTTAAATGCCCAGCTACTCCTTGGAGGAAATAGTTTTTGCATGCAGAAGAAATTAGTACTGTCTGAAGATTTCTGGTTCCGCGCACTATATTTCTCAGAGTTAAAACCACAATTATTCAGCAGCAGTCTTTGTGAGTAGACCACTCTCAGGGGCTTCTATTTTTTTAAAAAAGTGCACACAATTTCATCATTATCAATTCAGATTGATTACATTACCTTAGGAATGTCTTTTTACAGTTCTGCCTTGTAATATGTGTGTCAGCATTTCCAAGAGAGTTTGGATTGAAGAGGCCTATACCAGAGTTAGAAGAGTTATTGTTTAGGTCAGCGGATTGCTGAAAAACTTCTATTGTCGCCTTTGCAATATTATCCAACAAGCTGTTCATTTCAGCCACAGACCCAGAACCCTACAGTAAAACATAAGTAAACTAGCGCATTCATGTTATGTTTGCTCATACTCTAAGTTATTTTGTAAAGGTATATGATTAATTAAAAAGAAAGGAAGAAATACTCACAGGTTCCTTCAGACACTGTTTGATCATTAGCTGAAGTTCCAGCCATGACTGTCTAAGAGTCCACTGATCTATATTCTGTATTTAAAAAGGAGAAAAATTTTCTTCATAACATTTCTAAAATTATTATTCTCATTAATAAAGTTGATATATAGTTTTATTATATGAGATGAAATATTTTGTTATAAATGTATATTTAATACAGCTAATTTTATTCATTCTTGCTGCTGGAATCCTGTGAGTGGATTAAATTGAGAAAGCAGGGTGAGAGAAAGGGAATATAATCTTATAGCAATATACACTTGATCAAAGTTTGTCTTCTGTTCAAATCTAGTTTAAGAATAGGAATGCCATCTGTACAGATGGTTTTGAGTTTCCATATTCCAATCTAGGACTTTGCATTTCTCTAAGTGAAAATTCAACTTGCTAGTTTCTTCTAATTGTTTCAATCTTTTATGATTCTCTTGAGTTGTATACTTTTCTCAAATGTTGTTTGTCTCCCGACCCGCACAATGATCCTTGTAAATGCATTGATCTTATCTTCTATTTCTTAATCCAAGTTATATATAAATATGTGGAATAGCACTGGGCCTAGAAAATAGCTTTGTAGTAGTATGCTGCTCAACATAATTTTCCAACTTGATCCATGATACATCCGAGGATAATTGTAGACCATATTATATGAGTAAAAGATAAATCATAGCTTTCTTCACAACAAAAGTGTAATGCAGCTATCCTTCATATCAGGCTATTTTTAGAATATAGTGTATAGTTCTGAACACTGAAAGTTTAGCAAAGACATTGACAAACGTAATTGCATCAAAAAACCAACAATCAAAAAGTGGTAGAAGATTGTCCAATAATTGTCCTAAATATAAGAAGTATTTAAATAGAGGCCAGAGCACGACAGTCAGGAAGTCTATAATAACAGATTCTCAGGCAATTTGATTAGATAATCCCCAATCAATTAGAATTGATTCCATTCTATGAATCAATTATTCCATCTTTATAATTGCACATTGTTTCTATTTAACAAATCCTGATGGTGCAATAGTTAGAATGCAGTATTGCAGGCTAACTCTGTCCACAGCCTGGAGTTTGATCCTGATTGGCTAAAGGTTGACTCAGTCCTCCATCCTTTTGAAGTTGGTAAAATGATGACCCAGATTGTTGGGGGCAATATCCCGACTCTGTAAATCATCCACAGAGTGCTGTAAAGCATTATGAAGCAGTAAATAAGTCTAAGTTCTTTCAATAAATATGAAACTATATTCCAAACATTTACTTCATTTAGAAAAAAGCAAGCAACAACAATGCAATGAAAAAAGCAAATCAAATACAAACTTTTCGTATCTAAACTTAAATAATTTCAGTTTAAATGTGGTTACCTGAAGAATGTGCTTGATGTGTTGCCTCTGAGGATTGTCCCCTTCTGTGCATTCTTTAATACTGTAAGGGTAACAGATAAGCTGCAACAGTTTCTGTGCTTGTTTGTTGGAGAGAACTGGATCCAGGATAAGATCTTTGTCAGTACATAGCCTCTCGGGTTCTTTCAAGCAGTGTTCCCCCACCCATTCCTACCAAAAGAATTAGATAGAGAAAAGGCATCAATACAAAAGTTAAAGCCAAACTTAAATGTTTAACTTGAACGTAACTCGAATGTATAAAAGAAAAAAAGAATGACATGGCCACAGGTGTATAATAGAACACCCAATCAAGCAGAAAAAATAGAAGTCCTTTTTGCCAGCCAACTAACAAACATATGCAGGAAACACACAACAATAGTAATGGGAGACTTCAATTATCCTGATAGTGGTCTTCCAATATTTGAAGGGCTGCCACAGGAAGGAAGGGGTCAAGCTATTTTCTAAAGTGCCTGTAGGCCAGACAAGGAATAATGGATGGAAACTGAACAAAGAGAGATTTAACCTGGAAATAAGGAGAAACTTTCTGACAGTGAGAACAATCAACCAATGGAACAGCTTGCCCTCAGAAGTTGTGGGAGTGCCATCACTTGAGACTTTCAAGAAGAGATTGGACTGCCATTTGTCAGAAATGGTGTAGGGTCTCCCGCTTGGGCGAGAGGTTGGACTAGATGACCTACAAGGTCCCTTCCAACTCTGATTATCTGTTATCTGTTTATCTGTATAACAAAAACACAGCCTTTTTCAAAAAGAATTAAATTCATACTAGGTATTACTTCTTTATGACAAAAGATGAGTCTAACTTCATTTTGCACTGTAACTTCAATACTTGTACTGAAAATGACTTGAACACAAATATTGTAGAGGTCATTTCTACTGTATACATGATTTGAAATAATTTTGAAAAAAATACCACTTTTCAGTGTTGTAGTTATTACATGTAATATATTCATATCTCAACTATTCTTTGCAAGAGTAAAACTGCATATGTTATCACTGGCATTTTATCATAATAATACTCTTAGCTCCAGTGCAAGCTTTAAGATAAAGACTGGACATGGCTGAATAGAGATTGGAAACCAATCTTGATTGTCTTTGTCCTACTCCACAGTTACTCTACACGGACAAGGGTAACAGATTCAATTTCACATGGACACCCAAACCAATGCAGTCACCAACTTTCACAATCCCTGGAATAAGGCAATACTGTCACTTTTGCAAAATTATATCTATAAGCACAATAATAAAGGAAAATGAAGACCATTGTTACCTGCTGACAAATGCTTCTTAGTACATATCTAGCATATTCACTGAGAGTAGCAGTTTCTATGGAAATGGTTTTTCCATACAAAGACTTTGAGGTAGCTTTCCAGATCTCATCATCATTTAGATCTCCCAATAAGCTTTGTACAGGGTAATCTGAATTTTTCAAGGAGGGAATATTGTTGCTTCCAATTTCAGCATCACCTATTGTAGGAATAGTAAAAAAAAAAAGATGAAAATGTGTATTAGTCCTTTAATATAGTTTGGTTTTTACCTAAGGGTCCTCCTAATTTATTTATGCTTAATGTTATTTCCAGTTTTAGAAGTTGTTGATATATTATTTTAATACATGAGAATTTCTGGCTACTCTTTTAGAAAAGTTAGTCTAATTAACATTTTTTCAATTACATACACTATGGTATGATATAATTTGTTACCACACTAAGTTCTAACAAGTAAGATAAACATTTTTAAATTTTACATTAAAGCAAATAAGAAATAATGTCATATAACACCAAAGTTACATACTTTAATAAGCAAACACGTTAAAGGTAAATTTATATTACTGCAGAGGAAGAATACTGATTGGTAGACATTATGTTTTTAGCTATTAATTTTACATCCTGTCTTTTTTTCTAGGAGCTTAAATGTAAATGGAGGATACCTCTTTGTTTTTACCCAGTACAATAACTTAATTCTTAGGCTGAGCTGAGAAGTAGTGTTTGGCTCAAAGCCAACACTGAGATCTATGGGCAAATGGGGCTTCAACTTGGTCTCCATTGGCCTGTGTCAAGTGCAAAGGATCAGGAGCATACCTGATTGGAGGTTGAAGGACAGAAGATTTATTTAGGCCTATGCACAAGAATCTAGTAAACTAATGCTCAGCACTAAATTGGTGCTAGATAAGGGTCAATAGAATTCAAGGGGGGCTGGACTTGCATCATTTGTGGCAAGGTAAGGACTCTAAGCTGATTTAACTCTGCTCCCAGCTCTTCTTGCCAAATATTTTAACTAGTACCTTCCAGATCATCTCATACAGTACCCTATACTATCTCCCATTTGTACTTTTATTAACCTATGATTCATCCTGGAAGATGTTTCTTGCACTGCGATTCACTTTCTAGAAAAGTTTCAAGTTTATCAGTATTTTACTAAATATCTGAATGTATACCTGTTTGGCTATTGCATGCCCAAGTAACTAAATACAAAGATAGTTTTCCCCCATGTCATTATTCTGCTAAACACCTATTTCCCTGCCCAGTGGTGGGATGCTGCCAGTTCGCACCAGTTCTAGCAAACTAGCAGCATTGGTAAGCAGTTGTCCCTGCCATCCCACACCTGCCCTTTCCCGTGCTTTATTTCCTTGTTTGTGAGCTCAGCTGATTCGTGTGGCAGACGGATTGCTGTACCTCAGTTGTTTTACTCACCAGTGCTGAATACAAGGTCAGTTTTGAAGCTTAAAATCAGTGGTTTATGGACACTGCCCACATGCACGAAGTGAAGTGCGCTCTCATAGAACCGGTAGTAAAAAAAGGGTGAATCCCACCACTGTTCCTGCCTAAGAATATTTATCTATGTAGTAATAGCAATAGTTGTATTGCTATTATCCTTCTAATCTTTTCTATTATCTTCTCCTATTGGTTACCTTTTGATTTATAACTTTGTTGTTTGTTTCTTTTGATTTATGATTGTATCTTATGATTTATCACTTTGCTGTTTGTATGTACACTGAAAGCTTATGTATGTAAACTGAGAGCTTATGTTTGTATGTACACTGTATATTTGTATGTACACTGAGAGCCTATGTACCAGACACAAATTCTTTGTGTATCCAATCGCACTTGGCCAATAAAGAATTCTCTATCCCTCCAAGGACCATAGGCCTATCTTCAAAGTAAACACGTACAATGAAGAACTTTAAAGTATGATCATACCAAGCATAAGAATTGCTTTCAAAACAGCAAATACTGCTCCTACTTCTATGCTGTTGTGAGCAGCACTTAAAAGGCGGCGATCACAAGATGACCGAATTCCAGGAAAACATTTTTCTGTATAAAAAGAAAACAATATTCTTTAGGAATACTAATTTCTGTTTCAGTGGCACAAAAGCTATTGTACTTTAAGAAAGGAAATAAATTTGGAGTTCTTACCATTCGACAATAAGGAAATATTGGGTGTTTGGAAGAGATGTAGAAGAAGACGGCAAGTCATCCGTGCCCCTGGTTCAGCATCTGGATCTCCACAAGCTAAGAAAAGAGTACCATTTTATTATTATATCAAAATTGTCAGCATCACTGCAACTGGGAAAAAACCTCTTAAAACTAATTTTAAACAATTGAATCAATAAAAAAAATGTTTTCACATATTATCGCTGAGGAAAATTCTTCCTAAATAAAATGTTCTGCAAAATAAAAGGGGTTTTTTTAATAAAAAAAATTTCATAAATATATTTAATACTGTTTGGTTACCTATTTTTCCAGTTTAATATTTCAACTTTATATAGAATAACTAAAGATTTGAACTATTATTTAACATGTTGAATGCATTTTGAAGATTTGATAGATACTGACAAGACAATTTATGAAGAAAAATGATGAATGTGAAATATATGATTGAAAAAAAATGTTTTGTAAAAAGACACAAAGGTTGGATGTAACAATGAAGAAATATTATGGGAAATAACAATGGAGGAACTGAAAGATACAGAATAGATGTGTAAAAAGTATTTTAAAAGCCAAATTTGAATTTGTGTGAGACTTAAGAAGCGGCTTCAAGTAAACATAATGCAAGATCTAAGATCGGATCATTTTATTTAAAATTCAGAAGGAACAGTACCGTGAGAATGAAATCAATAGTTGTGCAACACAGTTTAACAAAGCCCAAAGCAAAATTAGTATTTGATGGCATAAATAGGACATCCCAGATAAAAGAATAATAAAAATAAATGTTCAATTTATAAATGCAAAAAAAAAGTGGTTTGATTTCTAGCACTAAGAGATAGTTCATGGACAAATGGGTTGTTCTATGAACAATCTTAGCAAATCTTTCTCCCCAAGAAGCAGGGACTCTTATTATTTTAATACACTTTTAAACCTTACCTGCTGTAAGTAAAGAAGGAAGAGCTACATGTTGAACAACATCCTCAAGGAAAAAACATTGACGAGCAATCAGTATTGCAACAAAGGTAGCTAATGAATCATGGAATGAAAGATCACTCACCTTAAAGGAAAAAGAAAAAGAGAAAAAGAAAAACTCAGAGTTAACATTTCTGTTGGTTCACTTGATAGTACAGAAACATGGTATTTTTACACAGATCTAATTTTATAGAAGTGTGATTTTCTTTTGTATGGTTTTCTATTTCTTTCTATTGATTGATCTACTTTTCCCTGATTCTGTGCTACAATATATCAGTTGCTGGTTTTTAACTTGCTTTGATCCCAGCAAGTCAGAGGTCTGAAAGTGTGAAGTCACTATTGATGTACAGAGGTAATACAACTCAGATACAAAGTAACAATACAAAGTAATAGCGTTCAGCAGCTAAGGTAACTTACATCATAATTAACATGACAGGTAGACACATCCAGCTGCCATCAGACTATACGTGTTCTACTGCACTGAAATAGCTTTATTATAGCATTATGTCAAGACAAGTTACCTTGTCAATGGGAAATTATCTCCTAACCAGGAGAATAAAGGTGTTCATAAAATGCTATTTCAGTTCAACTGTAATCATTCCACTATTTCTACTAAATGTTGTTAATTCATTCAGTGTTTTAAAAAAAAGTTCTATGGAGAAAAGTCCTGGACTTCAGTGAACAGTTGCAGGTTTCTTAAACTTCAGCTTTCCCTTATACTCTGGTATCAGGTAAAATCTCTCCTGAAATCTCTCATGAAAACTCAAAACATTGGAGAAATGATTCATGTAAATTAACAACTAATATTGTGTAATGTGTAAGAAGCATAACATCAAATAATCATTTGCCTTTTTATTATACAAGAAAGCTACAAATATTCACCATGCAAAATAAAAATCAGACTTATCGTCTTAAGTGCATCTTTTGCACTTACATCCACGCTGCAGAGAAGATCATTAAATCCCCAGACATGATTTGAAGAACAGCAAAGGGCTTTCAAGACTCCTAACCACTCTGAACTTAGGACTGTACAGCAAGCAGTTAATTCTGCACACAAGTTTGCAATATCATTAATTCTAGGAAACAAAAAATAAATTTTAAAAACCTAACCAAGTAACAAAGTAAAAGGCAACAGTTTCACGGCAGTCAAATATTTGCCATGTCCAATGGTCTGCAACCAAACACATTTTCTTTTTATTAACATATTTAGATAAAATAAATGTGCAATGAAGGAGAAGAGAAAAATGACTCTCTCCTTGTGTCAATGTAAAATATTGGAATTAAAATATATAATTTTAAGTTAATTCTGGGTATCAGCTATTTAAAAGAGTCTTCTTAAAATATTACCACTCAATTATCAAATAGATGGATTATCTAAAAAATTTCAGAGTTAGAAGTATAGTCCTGTATCTGAAATTCAAGAGATTGCAATGTTGCTAAACAATCTGATATCTTCCAATGGTGATACCAGAATACCTTATAGGAAGATACATGAGCTTTAAGTAAAATTGCAATTTCCAGCATCTGCTCTATGTCAATTTCTTAGCAGCATGCTAAGACACAGTTTTGTTTTAAAAATGTTGGTTGAATGACTTATAGTGATTGGCTTCACATATCAAATTAACCCATAAGACATGCTTGGTTCCTTCCTCATGGTTAGCTAAGGCACACAAAGCACATTAGAATTTAGGGCAATTTATGGACCCATTCGGTGATGGAATTGTTGGAAAACTTTACATCATGAGGGACATTTTCCATGCATGATTTTCTTTCAAAACGATATTTAAAAGCAAATGTACCATTATATTATACTGTAATATATTGATTACACAATTTTGAATTTGGAGGAAAGAATGTCAAAACTATTACTTATGTATTTATGTATTTGGCAGATTTAGAACCCATCTGACTCCAGAATAACTCTGTGCAACTTACATTTAAAATAGAAAAACAAAATAACCTAAACATCTGGACAAGCTGTACAACCAGTCAGCCAAAGCTTCACAAACACCCTATTCTAAGTCCTGTGAGAAGACCCAGGTTTTTAAAGACTTTTAAACACCATCAGAGTGGGATATAAACATCTCTCAGGGAATATCATTCCAGATGGCAGACACCATGACAGAGTAGTCATACCTTCTGGTCCTCAATAAATGGCATCATTTAATTGAGGAAATCAACAGATACCAAATGGGCAGAGACCACAAGAGATACCCTCGACTTATGCTTTGAAGGGCTTTATGGGCACCCTGAACTATATTCAGAAGCTATTGGCAATCAGTTCAGCTTGGAGTTATATCACATGGGTGACTGCTTGTACTACTGCATTCTGAACTAGCTGCAGCTTCTAAGTGGTCTTCAAGGGCAGCCCCATTACAGTGCATTACAACAGCCTAATTGTGAAGTGATAAGGGCATGAATAACTGACTAAACAACCTACTGATTCAGGAATAGACAGAACTAACAGACCACATGAAACTTAAGTTATGCAAAGTTCTTCTTAGCCACAGGAGTCCTTGCCATTTAAACAAAAGCTGTGAGGTCAATATACTCCCTAGATTGTGCAACAGTGTTGAATGTGGGAAGGGGAACTCTATCCAAGAATAAACATGGAAAATCCCTAGATCCAAGAGCCCAAACAATCCACAGCAACTTAGCCTTGGCAGGACTAAGTCTAAATCTGTTCCTTTCCATTCAGAGCTGCAAACCTTGGCACTGGGACAAAGCACTGAAGCATCACCTGGTGGCCTGGAGTTGAAGTGTACATACACATATTAATGATACCAGAACCCAAACTGACTGATGACCTCACCCAATTCATGTAGCTATTAAAAAGAAAGGGACAGAGTCCTGGGGCACTCCATCATGAAGACCTGTCAGCCCTTTGGGGTGGTCCAGACAAAAAGCACAAACCATGAGTACTAATAATACATTTAGTTTAGTTTACTTTATTGTCATTGCACCTCGTACAACGAAATCAAACACCATCTTTAGTGCACATCATGACCATGACTATGAAAATAAACAAACACACATCCTTCACTCTTCACACATTGAACTAGAAACCCCCGACACCACACCAACACTGCACTATACGGCAGAATTCAAAAGAGCTACTGCCCTGGGATAGAGTCAGTTTTTCAACCTATTTGTCCTTGTTTTTATTATTCTGTACGGTCTGCCAGATGCTAATAGTTCAAAAAAAGGGTTCCCAGGATGAGATGGATCTTTGAGAATGTTTTAACTTTCTTAAGGCAGTGGGAGCTATAAAGCTCTTCCAAAGAGGTGAGTGGGCAACCAATGATTTTCTGGGCAATGACATTAACCCTCTGGAATGCTTTCCTATTTGCTACTGTGCAATTGGCAAACCATACACAGGTGCAGTATGTTAAAAAGCTCTCTATGGTGCAGCGGTAGAAGGTCACCAGCAGTTTTTCATTCAGTTGTTTTCTGAAAAGTCTCAGGTAGTATAATCTCTGCTGGGCCCTTTGAACTAGGGCTGCAATGTGGGCACCTCAGGTCAGTTCCTCTTTTAGGGTAACACCCAGAAACTTAAAACGGGCCACTTGCTCCACTCAGTCTCCATTGATAAGCAAGGACTGGATGTCTGATCTGTTCCTTCTATAGTCCACTATAAGCTCCTTGGTCTTATTGGTGTTGAGGACCACGTTATTGTCTCCACACCACATTTATTATAACATTACACTAATAGTACATTGTAAATGCTTCTTCTTCCTCTACTTTTACTTTCCAGAAAACTAAATCTCTAGGTTCCCTTTCAAGACACTTCACACACCCCTCTTCATTCTCTGAGCTGAGATACTTTTTGCATGATAGTTGTCTAGGCTGCAACTCTTCCTCTCCTTTCCTAAGGTCATTCTCACATACCATTTCAGTGGCCAAGGGCATGACCAGTTCTCCCTCCATTGTCAACACTGACTGGACTCAGCCTCTGAGGAAGAAGAAGACCACCATAGCACAGTGCTCCCAACTATCAAACCTGCACCTGGTCCATCCAATGAGGTGCAATCTCTTAGCCCAATCAGTCTGCTTTCATCGTTTTTTTAATCTTTGAAATAAAATTTATAGGATTGAATTCCTATGTCAAAATTATTCATATGCAATTTTGTTTTTGCTGTATTTTTATAGAAAGTATTGTCAGCACATCTTATAACAACAGAGATTAAGGAAGGGAGCCCATGGCAAGAAAACCTGCTGGTAAGAGAGTAATCATCATCCTTGAAGGACAAGAGCAAGATGTCAGGTTATGGTGCATGCCCCACTTCTTGTATGCACAAATGCAATGACAAATGAAAGAAGCACATCTAGTTTTGTGTAGCTTTATCTATCTTTCTTGTTTTGATTTCATTGCAGACCCCAATGGGTAAGTGCCTGTGAAATTTTCCTAAATAAGAAGCTTTATGTTTGAAAATAGCCTTACCTGTCTGTATCTTGATGGCCCATGCAGACATTCATTAGTGCATTACACACAAAGCTATAGCGACTTGGTGCATTGTCACTCAGAATCTTGCCCAACATTGAATATTTAAGGCTGCGAATGGAGGGATTCTCAATAAAATCCAACATGAATTCAGGATCCCATAACAAATTGGAATTTGAAGGTTGAACATTGCTATATATGGTCTGCTTTACTTTTGAACAGGCACTACTAAAATAAGAAAGGAAACAGAAATAATCAAGCAAGGAAAACAACAATTTCATACAAAACAAAGTTATGCAGTTAATTAGCACTGTGTACAATTTACTTTGCAACACTTGCTCTTAAAGCATTGTAC